AGCTCCCCACTGCCCGGGCCGGGGTCCCCGGCCGGCGGCGCCTCCGCCTCCGCGGGCTTCGGGCAGCGGAAGGGGTAGCCGTTGTCGTCGAAGAACCGCCGGAAGGTGAACTCGTAGAACGCGTGCTCGGGGTGCTTGCTGCTCGCCGCCGTGAGCGTGTCCCAGGCCGCGGCGCCGTCCTCACCGGCGTCGTTCCAGGGGCTGTCCTCCTCGACGGGGTCAAAGTTGGAAGTGTCCATGGGGTGGCTGATCTTGGGAACGTAGGGGGCCGGCTGCTTGCGGATGTCGCTGGAGAAGTCCGTGGTGGCGAAGAACGGGTGGGCCTTCAGGTCATCAGCCCCGCCCCGGCCCAGCCGGCGGTCGGCGGCACAGCACAGCCTGGTGATGAGGTCCCGGGCCTCCGGGCTCAGCTTGACCTGGGCCGGGATGTGCAGCGTGCTCTCCCAGTTCACCACCTCAGGACACAGAGCGGCACAGGGTTAGCTTCTCCCGCCTCTCGGTGACACAGGCGGCTCAGGGGCAGCGTGTGAAGACGCGGCTTGCACACCGCTTTATTTCCCGGTGGGGGAAAGTCAGGGCCCATGCGGAAGCCGCAGCGGTGGCCCTGAGTGGCTAGAGAAGCTCCGTGCCATCTGGCAGGGGACACATGGCCCAAGGCCAGGGAGAAGAGAGAGACGGGTTTTCGCCCACCGGGAGGCCACTCAGCAAAGGGACCCGAGCTCTCCACAGAAGTGAAGAGGCTGACCCCACCACTTGTCCCCCTGGCTATGGCACTGACTTCGGGTGAACTGCCTGGTCCCCATCCAACGCTCACTGCGGCCAAGATGAGGTCAACCGGGGTTTGAAATTAAAAGGAAAAGGAACCTCGGAGGGGATGAGCCTTCTGGCCCACGGCTTTGGCCTCCTGTCCCCAACACGCAACAGCACGGCCAGTGTCTGGATGTCTAGGGAAGACACATGTCACGTGTGCCACTGTGGGAGACAACCTAAGGGACTTTGCTGTTCACCCTCCGAACCAGGGTAGAACCACGCCGACGTAATAGGCCACTGGCAGGGCGACAGGCCTCGGGGGGCAGTGGAGGCACGTGGGTGTGGGGGGGACGCTGGTGTGAGCCTGAGCAGTGGCGGAAGAGCTAGAACCATAAGACTTCGCTGCTCACTGTTCTGCACTGACGCCAAGACGGCAGGTGGACAACGATTCACGTAAAATTTCACACACACGTCCATGTTAAAACTCTGGTCTGACCCTGCGGCTTATTAAAACGAAGTCTTTCAAAATAAGTTACAATAACGATACTTTAAAAAATCCCGTTATGCACAAGCAACATTCCCACAGGACTCGGAGTAAAAAGGCCGGGACACCATGCGTGTCCGCGGCGAGCACATGCATCCCCACCCCGTTACCTTCAGCTGGGTCTCCGTGGGAGTCGCGGCCAGGAAGGGCGGCTGCCCCACCAGCATCTCGAAGAGGATCACGCCCACGCTCCACCAGTCGCAGAGCTGCGTGTACCCTGCAAGGAAAGGCCGCTCAGCGCCAGCACGCACGCGCTCTGCCGGCGGCCGCACGGGCCTCAGCGCCGACCAGCTGTCCCCGTGTCACGTCACGCAACAGAAAACCGGTGGCACGTGTCTCCCCGCCCAGGTGGCTGAGAGCGAAGGCTGGGCCGGCACATGCCGGGGAGCCCACAGCCTTCACGTGGGGAGGGGACAACCCCTCGCTCCCTTATCCCCAGTCACTAGTCTGCCTTCGTGACCAGAAAAGACTTCTTAATTTAAAAAGATTACTGTTGCCATTAACAGAACTTTAAGAAGATACAAACGGATACAAATTAAAACAGTAGAAACAGAAAACAGGAAGTGCTGAGACCTGTCAGGACAGGGGCCTCCAGGCACAGGGCCTCGGGCAAGGCTCCCTTGGGGGTTCTGGAGGGAGCCGAAGAAAACCGGGGCGGGGGGCACCCCGGCAAAGGGGTCCAGTGCCACCAGAGACACGGCTTCTGCGAGGCGCTGAGTCCCCGCAGAGCTGAGGGGGACACCTGGCCAGGCCCGGCGAGGGGCCACATGGCAGGGTCACATTTGCTTCGGTGTCCTCCCCCTTTCTTTGGAGCTTTGTGCCCAGTCCAAGCTGGACTCCAGTCCTGATGTCACCCTTCTCCAGGGCTGCCAGCCGCACTCTCTCAGGCCCTTCGGCCCGGTGGTACTCCTTCCACATACCCAGGACCCCACCTCGAGATCGTGAGTGGGCAGAGGTCACCACTCCGACCACCTCTCAAGGCAGTTGCCTCACAGTGGGCTCTGACGGCCTCCCAGGGAAGCTGACAGGACCCGCCCTGCTGCGCACTCAGCCAGGACGGCGACCCCGCCGAGTACCGGTGGCTGTGCACGACCGTCCCCAGCCTTATGCTGCTGGACGAGGAAGACCGTGTTTGTCCTCTGTCACACTCAGTAACCGGCTGGGGATGGTCCAGCCTGGCCTGGGGCCCGCAAAGGTCAGGCGGGGGCAGACTGGGTGCTGTCCCCAGGACAGAGTCGTTTGCCCCAATGACTGGCAAAAGCTCTGGGCGAGTCCCTGGGTCCCAGGAAGGAAGCCCCCCAATCTCTCGCTCTGCAGCCGCAGGAAGGGCAGGAAGAAGTGGCCCAGGGCTGCGTGTCCAGCGCCCCAGAGCAAGGGCAGCTCCCAAGGGTGTGCGGTGACAGTGGGAGTGTCCGGCTCAGAGAGCGGCAGCTGGACGGACGGGGGCCTGGGGTGGCAGGACAGGGGCCGCGAGGCACCCACCTTTCCGGAGGAGCACTTCTGGAGCGATGTAATTCGGGGTCCCAACCAGGGAGTGCGCAAGGCACCGCTGATGCTGCTTCCTGGCCCTCTGCTCCAGCGTCTTCAGCCTGTCCCCGCAACGACAGTTGGACACGTCGCCCCACAGGTCCCCAGGCTCCATGCTGTCCTGTCTGACGTGGCTCCCTGTCAGCCGGGAATCGGGTGGGAAAACAAGAGGACATGAACAAGGCGACTCTGCGCCGTGCGACACCGCAGCAGAGCCAGAGCGGCAGCCAGACGCGGCTCGGCTCAGCTCCAGACACACTGAGAAGGGACCCGCCTGGCCGCCCCACCCGGCAGCGCCGCGCGGCCTGCAGCTCTGGGCTGGGCGGCTGAGTGGCCGGTGCCCCCGTGGCCGGCGCCCGGGAGTGCCTGTGCCGCCCAGGCTCACACCTGGGGCCGGGCTGGGGCAAGCACACAGATGTGCTTACGGTGCCATGGAAAAGCACAAGAGGATTTAAGAACCGTCGACAAAAACGACTCAAATGCCATAAAATGGGAATGTATTAAATGGCTTAGGATAAGTTTTTGGGTTAAAAAATCGGAGCCTGAGCTAGGGTATTAAAGTAGATACTTGAAGAAGCGAGCCGTGAGTCACGTGACAGCCGGCTGGCTTTGGTTTTTCTGGACAGAACTGCAGGCGATGGAGGTAAACTACACCCGTCTCTAGGCGGACCAGGCACCAGGGACGCTGTGGACCGGGCAGGGGCTGGATGAGGGGGCCCCCAGGGGCCTGAGGCTCTTGCCAGGCTGGCTCCAACAGGCCAAGTATGGTCCCGGCCCCCCGGAGCTGGCCGCCCTAGAACCCTCACAGCAGAAGCGAACCCCATGGGGAGGGAGGCCAAATCATAAAGTGACGTGTGACAGCCGCGTCACCGCATGGGAGCCCGGCCGAGGCCGTGCCTGGGACGGTACCTCTCTGGTAGTACTTGGAGTTGTGTGTCCACCTGAAGCCTGTGCAGAGGCCGAAGTCCGTCAGCTTAATGTGCCCGTCGAGGTCTATGAGGATGTTGTCCGGCTTGATGTCTCGATGGATGAAGCCCATCTTGTGGACGCTCTCGACGGCCAGCGTGAGCTCCGCGATGTAGAAGCGGGCCAGGTGCTCGGGGAAGACCTCCATGCGGATCAGCAGGCTCATCATGTCACCCCCGGGGATGTAGTCCATCACGAAGTACAGGCTGTCCTTGTCCTGGAAGGAGTAGTACAGCTTGACCACCCACTCGTTGTCCGCCTCGGCCAGGATGTCCCTCTCGGCCTTGACATGGGCCACCTGATTCCGGTCCAGAACGTCCTTTTTGCGCAGCGTCTTCATGGCGTACAGGGCGTGCGTGTCCACCTTGCAGGCCAGGCACACCTCGCCGAAGGCGCCGACCCCCAGGGTTTTGACCCGCACAAACATGGACTTGTCCATCTTGGCCCTCTTGAGCCTGTTGTGGTTGGACTCCTTCTGGTATAGGATCCGCCTCATCTGCTCCCGCTCTGCCTCGCAGAGGCCGGCCTGTGTGGGGACACGGGGCCACGTCAGAGAGGCCGGCAGCGCTGGGCCTGAGCCATGCCCTGGAACTGAGGGCCCGACCCTGTCCACGGGACAGGGCGACGGGGGGACGG